AATCTGAGATTTTTTTCTTCTACAGACGAAGTTTTTTTTCTTTTAATAGACAGAAATTTTTATATACACTTTAAAAAAATAAACTCAAAATTATAATTACTTCAAATCTATATTCTTTTATATCACTCTTTATCTTCTATATCTATATCTATATCTATATTATTATTATTATTTTATTATATTATTATTATTATTATATTATAAAAGATGTAATGAATCTGTAAAAATATGTTTTGTCTAAATTAACCTTAATTTGTCAAATTAATTTTGTAATATAATATTAATAATACAGTCCTATACTATGCTCCCAAATCCTTCACAAAGCGACATCGCCATATCCTGCACCTAAATCCTTCAGAAAGCGACATCGCCAAATCCTTCACAAAGCGACCTCCATAGCGTCCTCCGTCGATCAACCACGAAATCCGAAATCGGTCGACTCCCATAGGATTATCAAGCAGGTGATAAATGGTTTTCCGATATTTCTGACAATAACTCATCTTGGATTCTGTGTTATTTTTTTTTCTTGTTTATTGAGTAATTTAGCAATTTTTGATGATTTGTGATGGTACTTTTTTTCTTCGTTTATTCAAATAAATTGAAAAAAAAAACATGTAACCCACCCTTTCATGTTAAAATAGTCAGTTTTTGATGATTTGTGATGGTATTCTTTTCCTTCGTTTATTCAAATAAGTTGAAAAAAAAAAATATGTAACCCACCCTTTCATGTTAAAAAATAGTGGTTTAGATAATTATAATTCACCAGTGAGTTGTTCAATGTTTATTCCCCTTTTAATTCTTTGGTCTTGTGTTGTGTGGTTGCTTTTTGGGTTCCACTTTTGTTTCCTTTTGGGTTCCTCACTTTAAGGTAGTTTGAGCAAATAGTGAAACTGGAATTCGGGTGGCATTGATTGAATATGCTTTACCGAAAACTTTCCAGCCAAGATGAAACTTTCGACCGATTTGTGAAATCAATTTGTTTATGTGCATTAACTGATATTCCAGTGGTTAGTGCTCCTTACATACAAAGTGTACAAAAGCTACATATTTTCTTAGTTATTGTATACAAGCATAGAGTGATTAGGGAGGGTTATAAAGCCGACAATAGTAAGTCGGTAAAACCAAAGATCTACAACGGTAACATCAAAATCAATTACATAAATAGTACTTTTATTTTTACAATGCCTTAATTATGGTTGTAGATAATTGTGAATATAACTTTTCTCTACATTAAATTATGTTATTGACACACAATTATCATACATATTGCTCAATTAATTACAACTATATGATTTACATTCTTATTGACATATAAAAACAATGTTCTTTATAATATTTTAATTTCTTGGAGTATTGATGCGAGTATTTAATTCTTAGTTTTAATTACAATCATAGATTTCGAATGTTAATTGCAATCATACATATTGTTGGGAATATTTATTGCCCGGGAGTATTTATTTACAATCATACATATTGTTGGGATTATTTATTTACAATAAAACAATGTTAATATCAATCATACTTTAATTTTTATAATCCATTTATTTGAATGTACTTTTCCTAGATCAATTTTCATGCTAAATTTTATATTAGCCTTCGCTATGGGTTTGTAGTTTTCCATCAAAAACTATGTTTCTGTTCATAGTTTTCTTGAAATTGGGACCACAAAATCGACAAGATATTTCTTTACCTTCAGTTCTATTTTGATTTCACTTCTCTTGCTAATTTTAGATTTCATTTTTGGGTTTTAATTAAATTTATTGTTCTTTGGCAAAATGATTTGGTTTTTAAAGGATCTTATCAAGTTGTAGCATGAGTAAAAGATCATCAACATTTGATTTGTCAACAGATAATTAATATATACATATATAATTATATACATATTAATATGCATTTTTTCATCTATTATATCATATAATAATTAACTAATTGAAAATTCATATTAAATTATTTATGCAAGTCATACACCATAATAGATTTAGATCCTTATCAGAAGCAAGTGTATTGTGCTAAAAAAAATAAACATCGCAAGGGCCAAAATATGGGAGTTGCATGTCTTGATACCGATGAAGTTTCATCTGGACGTGAATGTTAGAAATATTTAATCCTCTAATACAAAACATATACATGTTTTTATGAGATCTAAATGAGTACTATATGTTTCTTTTATATTTCAAGAATTTGTTGTTTTTATTGTTTTCTATATTTTTATATTAGGTTGTCATAATGCATTTAAATATTCCATATTTGATGTTGTTAGAGATGTAATGGTGTCAATACTTTAATTTTGTACAAATAAAAATATAAATCTTTGTTGTATATTTGTCATTATGTTTGATTCACCTATAAATATAACTATACAAATTCCCCCTAATAAAAAAATGAGCATGCTTCACTTTATGAAAAATATATTAATATTTTATTGTTTTCTATTGTATTTAATGGAAGTTATGTGGGAAGTTACTAAAGTGGATTTAGATGAACCAAGTTCACCAATAGTATATAAATATGATGAAAGACTCGTATCTGGGCAACAAAGGGTCGATGTAATTGAGAGGAATAGAGATGGAAATGTGTGATTTACCAGAGATATATTATTATTAATACTCTATTATTATTGTACATAGAAAAAATAAATTAGGCATTTCATTCATTTATGTGACTTAATAAATAATTGGTATTTGTCATTTTTTAGGTTCAATTATTAAAGGGAATGTATGTTTAGCGATACATGAGTTGAAAAAAATGTCCAATTGCATACATTGCGGTGCAATGAAATTTCAGTACGAGTGTCCAACATTCTGTTGTGATAATGGAAAGGTCAAACTTGCTCCTATTGAAGTGCCTGATGAATTATATGAATTGTTCACTTCACAGACGGAAGAGGCAAAACAGTTTCGAATAAACATTCGCCTATTTAACAGTATGTTCTCTTTACTTCATTAGGGGTCAAATTAGATAAAGAACTTGCATCTGCAAGACAAGGAGTCTATACTTTTCGAGCTCAGGGAGTAGTGTATCATGATCTTCCTAGTTTATTACCTAAAGAAGATGGACCTAGATATTTTCAGTTGTATTTTAGGGAAACAGAACGAGAGGTTGAGAATAGGATGGGCATATTTCCAAACTCCTCTTTATCTAAATCTACGGTTAACAAACTCATTACCGTTTTGGATGTGAACCTGAAATAAATTAATAACTAATTATAAATTTTAAGCCTGAAATAAACAAATATCATTAACGATTTATTTTATTCATTTCTGCAGGGAGTCCAAATTGGAATAATAATATTTAATGCTGATATTGATGAATACACGTCAAATTTCAACTCAACAATACGTATTCCATCACTGAAGTTGGAAAAGTCAATCCCACTTTTGCAAATATGGCCATTCGTCCAGAGAAAGATATATGTCTTAGAAAGCTCAACAACCTCCGTGAATCTTGCCGCTGAAGATATAGGACATAATATCTCCTATAATTTCACCAAGTTTGGCAACATCAATGTCAAAAATAATGCAAATGAAAAATTTGGTATGTATATATTATACCACATGCAAAAATTAGATTCCTATGAACTCCACTCTATTAGTAAAATTACATTTATATTTTTCTTCAGAGATATGCTGTGGGATTGTAGTGAAGGCCAAGGAATCAAGGATTGTGACAAAAGCAACCGGAGGAAAAACAACCATAAGAGAGATAACGATTATGGACCAAGAGTACATATTTTCTTTCCTTACAAATTAACAATGTCTTATTAAATATTAGTAATAATTTGTATACTTGAAAAACACATATATAATAGAAAAACTTCCACATATATGCTTCAAACATGCACTATTTATAATTTACAAATATTAATAATGAAAACAAAGTTCTAAATTGATTGTATCTGTAGGTATCGATCCATTCTTGTCTCTTTATGGGATGACATGGGTCAAAATGAAGGATCCAACGTACACTACATGGTTCAAGAGAGCCCATTTATTGCAATTAGCAATTTGATAAAACCAAAGATCTACTACGGTAACATCAAAACCAATTACATAAACAATACTCTTATTTTTACAATGCCTTAAATATGGTTGTAGATAATTGTGAATATAACTTTTCTCTACATTAAATTATGTTAATGACACACAATTATCATACATATTGCTCAATTAATTACAACTATATGATTTAGATTCTTATTGACATATAAAAACAATGTTCATTTTATTTTTTTAATTTCTTGGAGTATTGTTGCGAGTATTTAATTTTTAGTTTTAATTACAATCATAGATATTTCGAATGTTAATTACAATCATACATATTGTTGGAAGTATTTATTTACAATCATACATATTGCTGGGATTATTTATTTATAATCAAACAATGGCAATTACAATATAATCCCTTAATTATGTTTGTAGATAATTGTGCATATAACTTTGCGCTTATAATGTTCACATTTAATTGATTAGGCCAATTGCAATAGCAAACCAGTGCAACATATGTACTTCAGATAAACACGGCGTGTGAGGGAAACAACCATATGCATATATGGTATCCTCTAAATTCTGGATACGATATAAAAAATATCACAGTTTACATAACATAATATTACCTCCTACTTTTTGGACTTTTTAGGTTACAAACACATGTCAAGCCTGTGAAAATAATTGAAATGTCAATGACAAGAAGAATGAAGGATTTTGATAGTATCACCTTGCAACAAATTTATTACAATCGTGCAGACATCATTAAGGTAAATTTAACAAATATCTTAAATAACCAACATATTTGGTTGAAATATTTATATCCATAACCATTGTTTCCAATCACAGGAAAAATACAATTGTTTAAGAGGATTTGTCGACAAGGTCGTGAACAAATCATCATTACGGTATGAATCATGCAAAAAATGCTCCTCCTCTATTGACAAGAATGACGACAACAAGATGTGTAAAAAGTGCAACGTTGTCGTGGAAACAACTCCAAGGTAATAAGAAAAAACATAAAATTTTATATCTTATATTTTAATGACATAACATAATTAAAACAATTTTACTATTTGCAGATATAGGTTGGTACTAAATGTTGTAGAAGAGAACCTCAGTGGCACTATCACACCTTTTGAAGATGTCGCAATGGTTTACGTGGGGTGTTCTATTGCAGACTACATTAGATCTATTGAGCAGGTAAAAAAATTTTCAATTTATAACTCAAATTCATCTTCAAATACTCAAATTTATAACTCAAATTCATTTTGAAATACTCCATTTTTAACTCAAATTTGGTTCCCAATTCATTAGGGAAAAGAATCATCTGGTTACTATCGAGGATTGAGCTTGCAATCAACCACCCAATTCCAATTTCTCATCCAAATAAATCATAAGTCATACAACTCAAGAGAAGAGATGAACGTGGTTGCCGAAGCAATTGCAAGATTACAACCTACCAATGATGAAGAAATGAACGAAAGTAATCAAAATCTCCCAAAACTCCAAGTGATCTGCAAAAGAATCAACGGGCGCCACAAAAAAAGCAAGTTCAAAAAAGAAAACGCGTCGCCAACAAGATAAAGGAAGATGACAATGATAGTGTCATAGAAATTGAAGATAATGAAACAATCAACAGTCTTAAGAAGAAATGTGTGCGCAAAAATTCAAAAGGACATGGAAAGAAATCATCCTCTCTGATGATCAACATAAATAAAGAGAAGAGTTGAAACCATAGTTACTTCTTTACATCATTTAAATTTAAGAACATTCTTTAGTTACTGTTTAAATTTAAGAACAATCTTTGGTTACTTTCTTGCTATAGTTCATTAATTTACATATTTAAAAATTTTTATCTACTATCTATTTTACCTTGGAACATTAATAATTTATTCCGGCCACTTCATACTTTCTATTAAGAGCGAGTTTAAGAAAACATAGTACCATGAAACAAACATCTCCTCGTGAACTAATTTAGCAAAAAGATATTTTCACCATGTGTATCGCACGTGTCCCTTACTAGTATAATAAAACGTGTGAGGCCTTCTTTGACTGTCATTTGTCGCGTTGCTAGGGTTCTTCATATTATGCAGTGAAAACAACACCGTTTTGAGTGGACGAAATACTCTTAGTCTATAATGTTTACTTTGGGCAGTTAATAAGTAATTTTAAGGTGGAATAGGATTTATATGTTTCCTACGCCATGTCAGTTTGCTCTGAAAAGTAAACAACCAATCCCATTTGCTTTCATTTTTTCGGTTTGTTCTGCCAAGTGAAAATGGCGCCTCTCGCTCGAAGTTGCCATTTTCAGTATCTCTCCTCCGGTAGATGTTGAATGTCAAGTTCTTATTCGTGTTTAGATTCAGGGAACCGGTGAGCGAGAAAAATGTCGAAGGCGAATTGACAGTGAATTTAAAGGTAGAGCTTTGGCAAAAAAAAAGGGTTCTAGGGCAACGAGAGAGAAATTTTAAAACATTTTAAGTTTCTACTTCTCTAGACGTGATTTATAAGGTATAATTTTTTTTTTCAATCTTTCTTTTTTCTTCATTTTTCTTTTATAATTATAATAAAAATTACTGACATAAATTATAAACATATTTAAAAGCTAATAACTTTTTTTAATTCATTAAATTTTTTATATAATTTATCAAATTAATCATGTCTCGATGAGTTTCAATTTGACATATGTATTGTACATAAAAATAAATAAATAAATAGATTTATATATAAATTTAATAAAAATTAAATTATATATTAATATTAAATGGAAAAAAATATTTAAATTAATTTAACTATAAATTACTTATATGATATAAGTTAGAATATAACATGTTAAGTCATATAGGTGACGAGTATCATTTTAAATATAAATAATAATATAGGTTGAAAAAAAATTTAAATATCAAAACTGTTTTTCTAAAATTTTAATTTACATATAATTTTTTATAGACGTATAATATACGAATATTGTACTATTTAAACGTCATAGAAAGCATACACGCGTAATAATAATACAGACAGAGTCGTGAAGACGACAGCAGAAGGTCTCGTCGCCTCGTTGGTGGAATTAGTACCTAACAACTCATCTTTTAATTGCACTATAAAAAATCCAACGCACACGTAGACGCCCGTCCGCATTTCCAGTCAACAATCAACCCGATGCAATAATAATACTAGACTACTTTAACCATATCTTTCAATTCAATAGTCCTACCTGTCGTCGTTCTCCTCTCCTCTCTCTCTCTCTCTGCAGATCTTCATTCTTGGAAAATGGCTTCTAGCCCCTTGACCAACAACGTGGACAGCAAAGGAGCCTCTCAGGAAACTCTAGGTGTGGCCTCGCAGGGGAAATTGTCGCCGAGCTGTGAGGAGAATGGTGGCTCCACTAGCATCAGAAGCAACACCGACGGCAGCGAGAGGCTGGAGTTCTCCGGTTGGGTCTATCACCTCGGTGTCAATTCGATTGGCCACGAGTATTGCCATTTTCGCTTTCTTCTCATTCGCGGCAAGTATGTCGAGATGTACAAACGCGACCCACACGAGAACCCCGGAATCGTACGTACCTCGTGTTTTCTTCTTGATATCTTTCATTTTGGTTTTGGTTAAGTTAGACGGAAATAATCTATTTGAAAGCTTCATGAATAAGTTTTGACTATGGCAAGGAGGAGTATGACTGTATGGTTGAGCTTCAGGTTTACAGTTCTTTGAATAAATTTTCCCCATCCGGCTGAGTTTTGATGCTTGGATTATGTTCTATAGCTTAGCTCTAGATAACTTATTTATTTTTAATTAATGATATCTAGGATTTCATGAATTGCTGTCAAGGATAAATGATATCTATGATTTCATGAATTGCTGTCAAGGAGTTCTTTCTCTACTAAATTTCAGATTTACAAGTTGAAGCATAAAACGTTTCACATTCTTAGCTGCATAGATAGCTGGCCAGCAATGAAGCTATATTTCGTCGTACTTTGTGAGGACCACAAGGAAGAATACAGACAACCATAAATTTGTATATTTAAAATCAACTAATCTTGTGTTATCCAGATAGCTTGTTTGGATTTGATAACTGTTTATTATTCGACATTCTTGTTTGAGGTATTCTTCTCTAAGGTGAAACCTTTGAGGGTGAAATCATTTTAGTTTTACCCCAATCGAACTACTTATTACTTGCTCTTCTGCATTTCACCTGGAGTTGATAAATT